TAGACTCTTCATCACTAGAATCAAGTGCTAACTTTATAATAGTTTCAAATACGAATTTTTTCTGTATGCTTCTCTCCATATTTCTAGGTTACTTGTTTCTTTTCGCTGACGTCGCTATATGCTGACAGCACTGAAAATATCGTTCCAAAATGAAAGCTGCGTTTGCATAAAAAGCACGCTTATGAAATTGGAACACTATTGGTAGCACGCACTTATGACGACATGCTCGCAGCGCTGACAAACAATTTTGGAACACAGCCGAAATTGGAACACTATTGGTAGCATGCACTTATGACGACATGCTCGCAGCGCTGACAAACAATTTTGGAACACAGCCTATAAATGAGGTTGGAAGACGTTAAGTGGTCGGCACTTTTACTTTTTTTTGTTTAATGCAGGCGGAAAAAGCTACATGTAATCTAACTCCATCCGAAACGAATCTCAACCGTGCACAGCGTACACATTCTGTTCCAATTGAATCGTGCACAACGTTATACTTTGTATATTCCTGTGTACATTTGTGTTAAGGGGATCGATTCTGTATTTTGAAACAAGGTGAAAATTACAAAAGTGAGCGAATTTACTAGAATGCTGATCATTTCATTGGTCAACACTTAGTAAATTTGCTCACTTTTGTAATTTTCACCTTGTTTAAAGATACAGAATCGACCCCCAGATGTGTTAAGCAATTGGAAAGCACCCAATGGCTGCGTTCAGCCGAGAAAGCAGCTTTGCAACTGTTGTAAAATTCTTTAATATGATTGGTCTTGCCTTTAGTTCCTTACTGGATCTAAATGTATAAACCAATCATATTTAAGAATTTTACAACAGTTGCAAAGCTGCTTTCTCTGCTGAACGCAGCCAATGTGACGTCAAATCATGCTTGATTTCTGCTATCTTTTTGCTTTTAGTATTTGAAATGGCAAACTTAGCCCAATATTTGCTACGTATTTGCCGTCACGATACTTATAGCAAGGAATGGGGGTGATCCCGATTGACCACGGCTCGATTGGACACCACCAATCACAGCGATCGGTGCTTAGGAGCTTTGTAGTCTCAAGCGCTGTGAATGGCTCGTGTCCAACTGGGTGCCACCCCACAATGCCTTTATAGAATTCTAATTTTAATATAAAATTAAAGTAAAATTAGTAACGAAAGTGAACCTTAATGCGTATTTGATTAATTATAATCCTTCATCTATAATAACTAGTGAAGAAGCAATTATTGAATATAATCGGCTAAAACGACTACATAAACCAGAAGCACAAATTATTACTATTTCAAAAGAGTTATCGTAAAATTAAAGATGTACCATGGACATTAACGAAAATAATAACTTCCGTTCAACAGTCAGATCAAAAAGTTCAACAAAATACTATACTTCTTGGGTATACGTGGTTTTCAAAATATTGACAAAGTTTCATGCTATGCCAATACTACATTACAATGTTTATTTCATTTAAATATTATTAGAAAACAATTATTTAATTCTGATAAACCAATGTGGATGTCCACTAAGGAGGCCTGACTCGAAGCTTTGGTCAACCGCAGCGTTTCGTCCCACACTACTAGACTCATCAGTAAAGCGATGTAGTGTAGGACCTGCCTTAGACGCCTGGAATGAATCCAGAACGATGTTTCTATTTAAAGGGTATTCGCGTGGCTACGGTGCTCACACGAACCGAATGAGTCCCTTCTTCTTATTAATTTAATTGGCCCAGGCCCTCGACAACGAGGTGAACATGGCCATGCTTACTAATCACAGTTAAAGCCGGAATCGCTTTTCAAAAAATTAATGAAATGATGCAATACCCGAAGCAGGGCAGACGAGCGTCCGTCCTACTCGAGCAAGCAAACGAGACTCCCGAATGAGTCCCGTGGACCTCTAGTGGCGAGTCGCCACAAACTAAATGTTTTAAATATATTAGCGCATCGATATGAGAACGGAATACTTAATTTAAGTGCCTACGCAGTACAAAAATATCTAAGGGAGTATTTTTCGACTGGTATTAAAAAAATGCATTTGATTTTATTGTAGCTATTTGTACTAAATATGATTTTATAGAAAATTTGATTGCGCATCAAATTATTTTTACTTGTCGATGCATAACATGTGGTGATACAAAAATTACTACAAATAATAATTTTATTTCCTCAATTTCTGTTAACAATTCGAACAAAACAAGTTTTAATCTTAATGCATAATTTCTGTAACGTTCAATCAAATAACTGTGATTTATAAATGCGGACAGAAACTGAAGGAATATTGCACCGGTTAGTAGCGGACACATTGTTGTTTTGTAATTGCCAACAGATACGAGTAATTGGCAACGATATCTCTGTCAGCTGACAGAAATATATAGAAACCTTATTTATAAACGTGGAATGAAACGGAAAAATGTAAGTAGCGAATTTTAACGTATAGGCAGTCGTTTAGAAGTTGCTTGTAAATACGAATAAACGGAAGCGCGGATATTTTTCTTGAGGAAACGCGTGGAACACTTACTTCGAAATGCGGGCAGAAACTGAAAGAATATTACACCGGTTAGTAGCGGACACGTTGTTGTTTTGTAATTGCCAACAGATACGAGTAATTGGCAACGATATCTATCAGCTGACAGAAACATATAGAAACCCTATTTATAAACGCGAAATGAAACGGAAGAATGTAAGTAGCGGATTTTAACGTATAGGCAGTCGTTTGGAAGTTGCTCGTAAATACGAATAAACGGAAGCGCGAGTACTTTGCTTGAGGAAACGCATAAGATGTCTACCTTGAAATATGGACAGAAATCGTAGTTTTACAGTAGCTAATAAATGCAGATGTGTGTGTGTGTGTGTGTGTGTGTGTGTGTGTGTGTGTGTGTGTGTGTGTGTTGCTAGTCGTACATTCCCGTTACAAACGGACGTTTGACGTCTCACAAGCAATGCTGACACGAACGTATGAATTTTGTGTTCATAATCGCGTACGAATTCCTGATTACATTAGATAGGGGTGATCCCGATTGACCACGTCTCGATTGGACACCACCAATCACAGCGACCGGTGCTTAAGAGCTATGTAGTCTCAAGCGCTGTGAGTGGCTCGTGTCCAATTGAGCCGTGTCCAACTGGGTGCCACCCCATTAGATACGTATATAATTCCTGTTGCATATTGCGGGTGGTACCCAGTTGGACACGGCTCAATTGGACACGAGCCACTCACAGCGCTTGCGACTACAAAGCTCCTAAGCATCGGTCGCTGTGATTGGTGGTGTCCAATCGAGCCGTGGTCAATCGGGATCACCCCGCATATTGCGGACACAAAATTGTGCTTATTCGAACGTAAACATTTTTTATCTGCAAATTTATCGTGCTCATAAAGCGTACAGAGTACTATTCGATTCTCGCAGGTGTTATATACGCATCTAATGGTTTTTATTGTAAATTTTAAGTAGGGTGATCGTCGTGACGGCGACGGCAACGGCAATGTTGACGTCAGCGCCGAGAGTGAGCGAGGCCCCGCTGATTTCGTTCTCCACAGGAACAGAGCCTTCTTCTTCTTCTATATATAATTGGCCCGGGCCCTCGCCAACGAGGTAAGCTTGGCCAGTCTTGTCAAAATAATAATGTAATACAAAGCACAGTTGAAGCCGGAAACGCTTTTCAAAAAATTAATGAGATGATGCAATACCCGAAGCAAGGCAAACGCACGTCCATTCTGCTCGAGCGGTTTTGCTAGACTATAGGAACAGAGCTATTGGGCGCATTCAGCGGATTCAATAGTTGAGTGAGCTGTTATTGGTGTATTCTTTTAGCTCTTCTAATTAGAATTTTAGATTTAGAAGAATACACCAATAACAGGGAGCGCTCACTCAACTGTTGAGTCCGCTGAATGCGCCCATTAGGAGAGAAATTCAGAGGATTGTCTCGTCGGCGATCTACAGCGGTTTCGTGCCGACGCGACGCTATCTCCGAGGCTCGGCGACAGTTAACACTGTTAACGCAGTAGTCAGTAGCGGCCGGGCAACAGCAGCAACGGCATCGCGCTTGAAACGAGTAAGCGCGTAAAGCAACGGCCGATCTACATTCGGTGCAGCTTTGCGGTCGGTCGCGCGGCACCGCCGTTAGTAGAGATGGGCATAGCGGAACATTATATTGTTTCAAATTTCAAAACATTAGGAACAGTCACTCCAATGTTCCGTTCAGAAGGTTCCGTTCATTTGTTCCGCTCTCTTTTACTAAAGGTAAACTTTCACGAGCTGCTCTAAACGGCTATTTTAGCGACAAAAAGGATCACGTGATTAAAATGGACATTTGATATTCGTCAATTTGACCACGTGATTCTTTTTGTCGCTGAAACAGCCAGTTTGAGCAGCCCGTGAAAATTTACTTTAAGGATGCAATCATATGGAGTCAGAAGTAGCGGAACGGAACAACAACGGAAAAGACAAATGGTGGGGGTTAACCAATCAGAACAATTCCGTTACGTTTTTTCGTAGCTGGGTTTCACATGATGAGAAATATTTTTACGGAACAGAATGGACCGGAATAACCTCAACGATACTGAACGAATCTGACGATATTTGTTGATTGCGCGTGATTATCCACACATTTAGACTACCGTAGAAATTAGCTATTTTATTAGCTATTTATTGATATCGATCAATTCCAGTTCCTACCATATTTCCTCATCTCTATAAAAAAATTAAAAATTCTGAGAAATCTGGGAATTCTGTTTTCACAAAATCAAGCATATCACATCGATCCGTCATCAGCATGGTAAAGTATTAATTTATTGTAGTATACATGCAAAATATTGGAGATATTTTAACAATTAATACATATATATATTTGTTATTAGGAACAATTAAGGTTACAAGAAAAAACGAAGAAATTATTGTTACACGAAATATATAGATGGAAAAGAATTCCACAATTAGGAATCCTGAAAGAAATGAAAAGAAAAGAATTAATTAAAGCTTATTTCCTATATATATAAAGTTTTAAAAAAGAGAAAAAAAGGAGGCAAATTCACGAAGAGTATGGGAGTACGATCAATATATACCGAAGAAAGAAGACTTAAACAAGGAGCAAGCAACAATCTAAATAACAATTAAAGAAATGAAAAATATAGATCCTAAGAAATTTATTGAATATTTGAGAATGGACAAAGATTCATTTAATGAATTACTAAAGTTAATCGAACTAAATATTACGAAACAAAATGTTGTTAGAACTCCAATACCAGCTATTACTCGATTGGAGATATGTTTACGCTATTTGGCTTTGGGTGATATTATGCCTTCCCTTTCTTTTGCATTTCGAGTTGGAACAAATACAATATCTAAAATTGTGGCAGAAACTTGTCAAGCTATTTGGAATGGCTTAAAAGAAATAGTTTTCCCTGAATGTACAGAAGAAATGTGGATAGAAAAAGCTAAAGAATATCAGGATATATGGCAATTTCCAAATTGTATAGGCGCAATTGATGGAAAGCATATTGGACTTCAGGTATATATAATTGATGTACTATCACAAACGATCTTTTGCCTTTGTAAATTACCCTTGTTTTATTATAGACTCCGCCACATAGTGGTTCAACATTTTATAATTACAGAAATATGCACAGTATTGTGCTTATGGCACTTGCAGATGCCAATTGTCGTTTTACAGTAGTAGCAACTAAAATGTTATTACACAAGTATTATTTTTCTTACTGTCGATATTCTAGTGTATCGTTCAAAAACGTCATTACATTGTAATAACGAAAAGATGGCTTGATAACTTCGGTTTTCGCTGCACCACTTCTTTGTATAACATCTTGTTGCTTCTTGAACAAATTTCTAGCTTTTCTAAAACAATCTTTTAAGTAATTCCACTGTTTTTCCGCATCTATAGGTGTGTACAATCCCATGACATACAATTTGTTTATAATTATATATATATATTTTTAATTAGAATGTGTTTATATATAACAAATATATATGTACTTTTGAGGTTTTCATGGGTATTTTCTTCAAAAATGCTAGAGGATTTG